TCAGAGGACAAGGGTAGAGATGGGGTGCACTTACCTTTTGGATTTGCCCTTTAGATGCATAAACCAGAAAACTGAAGGTTGGAGTAAGCATTGGGTGGCATACGTAAACTAGTCTTTTCCTCCTCCTCCTCCTCCTTTTTAAAGGAAAGATCAGAGTCTGAATATATTCATCAAGTAGAAGAAGATCCAAGAAATCTGACAGAATACTTTGTTGCTGTAGCTTTACTTTGAATAATTCTAGTGGCTTGAGCTTGCCTGAGCCTTGAAAGTTCCTGAGACCTTCATTTGAATTTGACATGGTGAAAAGGTTCGACTCCCTCCTCAACCCCTTCCCTGGGACTCCTGGGACTCCCATGTTCTTTTTCTAGTTGTTATCCAGGATTGTTTTTATGAAGGGACCAACATGGAGGGTATCACCTAATCCCTTAAACCAGGTTGTTGGATATAGCATGACTATCACTAAAACACACACACACACACACACACACACACACACACACACACACTATGGTTTAATTGAATTCCAAACTGACAACTTCAGAAGTGACACAGCTTGTACCTGAGCATACGCCTATGCTCTCAGTTGATTTAATTAACGAGGTGGTGTTTTGTTAAGATGCTAGAAATATAAAAATGTATAATAAAAGCACTGGTTCCTTGCAAAGTCCTCTCTATCCAGTCTTCCTAACAAGTGATGTTCCTGCAATCGTGCCTCTGATTTAGTTATCTCTCTCTGGTGAGCACAGCAGAAAATTGTGGCCGGTGGGCAATAAATCAAATCAGAGGCACCAACTTCTCTTTCGTTACTACTGTTCCTTTCTCTCTGACCAGTGCGTGCTGTTTCACTGGCTTGCTAAATGGCAATCATTTTAATTTGTTCATTGGGTTTAGATGAGCAAAATATAACAGCACATATATTGTGATTGTTAAAAACTAAATTAATAGAACAAATTTGAAGGTCTAATTGGTGTTATTAAATGATCCATGATGATTCAAGTCGGTCCAGGTAATGCTGACTTTTCTTTTTCCTTTTTTAATTTCTTTATTGATTGTGGTATTACATATGTGTCCTTATTCCCCCATTCCCCCCAACCCCCAATTCATGCCCTTACCCCCTGTTGTCTGAGTCCATTGATTAGGCTTATATATGCATGCATATAAGTCCTTTGGTTGATCTCTCCACCTTACCCCCACCCTACCCTACCTTCCCTGAGGTTTGAGGTTCTGATTGATGTTTCTCTGCCTCTGGATCTGTTTTTGTTCATCTGACACAGTATGACTACATGAGGTTTCCCCCTTGTTGTAACATTTTCAAATGCATTTCCAGTGAGGTGAACTTTAGTTAGTTTTTTTCTTAGTTACAACCCCCCCCCCCTTCTAATCTGTATACAAATACAATATTGATTTTCTAGTATATTACGCAGGATTCTTTTGGTTGAAAATAATGGCTCGAACCCAAGTAAACTGGCTAACGGGGGGAGAGGGGGATTTGTTGGTTCATTCAGGTGTAAAACTGTTTTAAGACACTGCTCAATCTTAAGCCTCAAATTGTGTCATCAGGTCACTGTATTCTGATTTCCTTTGGGCTAGCTTCATTCTCAGGTTCTCCCCACAAAGTGGCAATGATGATCCCCAGTAACTTTAAATGGACGGTCTATCAGTTTAGCAAAATCAGGGGAAAGAGATTCTTTCTAGCAAAAATCCCAGGTGTCGCTTTTACTAGTCTAGCTCAGTGTTTCCCAAACTTCTCTCATGATGAAGATCACCTGGTGGAGTTGTTAACATACAGATTCCTGAATCCCAACTAAGAAGTGCTAAACTAGAATTTTTGGGAACATATAGGTAAGATTATATACTTAACTAGTTCTCTAAGCTTAGTAGTTAAGGTAAAATTGTATATTTAAAATTGTATACTTAGTTATAGGTAAAATTGTATACTTAACTTAGAGCACTCCACCAGGTGATTCTATGAGAGAAGTTTGGGAAACACTGGTCTAGCTGATGAGCTAATTAACTATGGCCAGGGAATGGACTGTTTTGATTGGCTAGTCCTGGTCATATGCTCCTGAGGGAGCTAGGGACTGAGGCAGGGGAGGGGTAGTTCCGCAAATGAAAATCTAGCTACTGTTTTCTGAGAGAGGGAACAGATGATTACAGCAAATGTCCACTTTCATCAGGAGATTCCCTTGCTTCTGTGGGAGGAAGTGTGATGTGATGAGAACTATGCAAGGCAAAGCTTGAGTTTTGGAATTTGCAGCCCTGGATTCTATTCCCACTTTGGTCAAAGGCCAGCTGTGAGACTTTGGCAAGTCAATTAACCTCTTTGATCTTTAGTCCCTTTATCTAATAAGAAAGATTTTGAAAACTCAGAGGTTGGAAGAGGAGGAAAAGGGATAGTGTTTGGCAGGGAAACTTAATAAAACAAAATGGTTTTCGCTTGTTTTTAAATCAGAGTATTGTACTCTGGGATGATTCACATGTTAGTTACCTCCCAGTGAGAAAGTCACAAATTCTCAAACCTCAGTTTCCTCATTCACAAAAGGAATTAACTACTTAGATGACTCAACAAATATCTGTGATGAGGATGTATCAGACATATTTCTAGACACTGAGGATATATATAATAGCGATCAAGATATAACTATGAGCTCTTGACACATATTCTCAAGAGAGAGAGAGAGATCTCTAATAAAGGGGCAATTGAGTGTTATATAATTGATGTGCTAGTAAGATATTATACAATAGAATACGTAAAGAGGAATAGCGACTTACAGAAAATGAGGTCTGACATTTTACTTAGATTATCAAGGAGATTCCCTGGGAAGTGTCATTTGAGTAGCATCCCCGAGGCCCTGAGGGAGTGATCCACCTGGGAGCATTCTAGGGAGAAGCAGCAGGAAGTGAAAAAGGCCTGAGGTGAGGGCCTGCTTTCATGGCCAAGGAAAATAGCTAAACCCCTGAGCTTGAGGGCAGGTGAGTGTAGGCCATCGATAAAGTTGAGATTGGAGAGGAGCTGGAGCCAGATCATATCAAGTCTGGTTGGCCATGAGATGAGCTTGACTTTTATTCTAAGTGTGACAGGACACCGCTAGCATTTTATGCAGGCAAGAAATGATCTGACTTACATTTAAAAAATATGATTCTGGCTACTGTGGGGAGAAGAGCTGACAGTGGAGGAAGCAGGAGACCAGTTAGGAGGGTAGGAAGGTAATTCCAGGGAAGGGAGATGGTTGCTTGCTGGGGTCAGGGTGCTGGTTCTGTATGTAATGAGAAATAAACAGGTTAATTCTATTCTTTTTAAAATAGAATGAGTTTGCTGATAGTTTGGTTGTAGGAGGTGAGAAAATGAGGTAGCTTGGTCTCCATAACTGGGTAAATGCTGGAACTATTTGCTGACTATTTGAGAACGTTAGGGAGGAGGAGGGTTTTGTGTTGGGTGTGGGAAATAAAGAGTTCAGCGGGAAATGCCTTTTAGTCATCCAACTTGTCATGTCTGGTAGGTGATACCAGTCTGGGAAAGGTCAAGAATACAGCTATCGTTTTGGGAGCCTTCCGTGCATAGGTTGTGTGTCAGGCCATGGAAATGGATGTGACCACTAAAGGAATAATTTTTAGATGAAGGAGGATGGAGCCCTATCCCTTCACTTGTTAGGGCTTTTTATTTAAGTATTTCAAATGAATGATTATTCCAAATTCAAAAGCGAAAGAGATAGAAGTGGACAGAGCTACTTAGGTTGAGGTCAGAGACTTGCAGACTGAGCCTATCCCTCACCTGCCCCAGACCCAGACTCAGACATGCACATAGAAGCCCTTGTTAATCTGAGAGGAACAAACGTCGTAAAACCAATGAGATCTGCATCCTCCCCAGCTCCGGTGGTCTGCCGCTCTCCTTTTGGCTGCCAAGCATGTGTGTTTGGTCCGCCCCGACCAAAGCATCCCAGGTCCAAAGCTGAGTTCCATGGTTCTGTTATGTAGATAAACAGATTTACAGTTTTATCTTGGTTAGATTTGATTAGAAAACCAGCAGATGGAATTATAGAATGTCAGAGCTGGAAGCAAACCCAGATACCATCTCTCCCAATCCTTTCTGCTGTTGGGAAGGAGATGATGAAGCTCAGAACAAAAAAGGGACTTGCTGAGAGTAAACCCAGAAGCAACTGACTGGGCTCTGCCACCATATCCTCTGATGCATCGTGTTGTGGAACAAACGTGTTGAGAGTCGGGAATTCTTCTGAATAACAGAATTGTACAGTCAGTGTAGAGCCTATTTAGTGAGTATCAGTGAGTGTCCATCTGTTAAAGGGAGTAAGGCCTTCTAAGAGTCTATGCTGGAGGAACGTTTGATAGTTTGAAAGTCAATTCCCCTTCAACTGGGAGTTTTTAGCCTGGGTTTGAATGAATCATGGATTCTCCAAAAAGTATGTATGTGTGTGTGTGCACATTTTTTTTCCCCCTGGGTAGAAGTTCTCAGGAGTTTACTAGTTTTTTGAAGGAACACATGCTTCCCACCCTTGAAAAGGGTTTAAGAAAAATCTGAAAATCATCATATAAAGCAAAGTGACTGACCATTGTAGGCAATGCTCTGTTGTAATCATGGCAACATAGCTGCCTATTTGCACTAGCTAGTGGCCTAATGCAGGTCATATAAATGAGCTATTTCTGGGAAGAGCAAAAAATAACAAATACACTGATTAATAGTGAAAGAAGTACCTGTAAGTTTTAATCTCCAGGAAATTAGTAAAATATAAGAAAACTTTTTGCAACACTCAGCGGTGACATACCTTAATATGCCAACAGCTTTTTGTTGTGGTATTATTTATTAAATATTTTCTGATGCCCTACAAAAGCCTTAATAAATAGGAAGCAATTACTGGCATTTTTTTCCTCTACCAGCGACTTGCTATTTTCCTATCTGATCATCTATCTAACTTATTATTTATTCCCACATTATAGGACCCTGTGGGTACTGAAATCCAGCTCACCCATGCCTATTTCCTGTAATGGACGAACTTGATGCTAATGTGAGGTATGTGACAGTTCTGTGTGTATTGTGCTATACATTATGGCCATCTGAACTATGAGGTCTCTGTCACAAAACTAAGGGATGTGGATTTTCTTAAATGTTTCATATATCGTCATAAGTGTGATTCTGTTCGATTGTTAGTGTTTTTGTTTTCACTTCTGCTTGAAAGATTAATAAAAATGGCTATAAATGTTTTGAGATGCCTATATATAAAAAGTCTGCACCTAAGGGAGATATGCTATATGAAAGTAGATACTTCTGTAATAGGAAGAAAGAAGATGTATTTAATAGCATAAAGCAACTTTATATCATTTATCTGTATAGCTAAACATCGAATATACATTTAAATAGCTATTTATAGCAGTTTCTCATTTGCCCACTTCTTTATTCAACCAGGTCATTAGATTATGTTGCATGGTATAGTTCTGTAAACCTGAATGCCTTTTGTTTTGTTTTTCTGCAATTTCCTGCTGCCCTTGGAGATCAAATAATAGAATGGCTCCTGGGGAAGTTATTTCTTCAAGGGCTTGCTGCCGTTTTATTCGGCACAACCAAGTAGTGGGAGGAAATTGTATTCAATAAGGCGTAAGTGTTATGGGTTGGCATTTGAGGCTGAAGACTAGCTGGAGATACCGATAGCTGGAAGACTTTCCAAAAAAATACATTCCCAGAGGAATTGCAAGACAGGTTCCTTCACCTGAGACCTGTAGAAAAGCATGTTCCAGGTACAGCCTGGGGGCTCGGTGCCTGCGTGTGGCAGGTAGTAGAACATGTAACAAATAGAACATGTAGAAGAACACTGTGACAAAAGGGAGCCATCAAATGTCTTGACCGAAACACTAGTGTAATGTGACGGGGCTTCCAAGATGTACTACACCTGGGAATTCCTTAAGGGTAGGATGTGTCTCACTCAGAATCCCTGACACATGTTGGGCATTTAGGAAAGGATTGTTGATCAGCCAGTGTTCAGTGTTACCACATGTATTTCAAATGGGATTGCGTTCTGTTATACCTTGATGTGCATTGGGGCTCTGACTGCTTGTGCCATGCTAGCACAGCCAAGGGTTCTGCAAGCCCGAGGGAGGGCCGACAAAGGATAAGGAAGACAGACAAAATGAATAAGCTAAGTCCAGGTGGATCTTCTGTGCCTGGCTGAGGCCACAGAACAGATCTGACTGCAAAGCTGATGGTTTATTTATTGTCAGGTGCAAACAAGGTAATTTACAATGTTCTTGTAAGATTCACTTGTTTTGGCAGCACTTGCTGCCCCTCCCACAGCCCCCTAGCTACCCAGGAAAGATCTAGGGAGCAGTCACAAGATCAAGCTTTATGCTTAGAGGACTGTGCCCTCCAAGCTGGGACTTGTTTGTGACTTTGCCAGCAGGTCAGTCCCAGGCTTAACCTTATAACTGCTTCCTACAACTGCTCAGCAATAAAACATTTTACATGAGCAGAAGCATCCTGGACTTTGTTATTTACCCAGCACACTGACTTGGAGCAGAGCCTAAGGACTTTAATGCAGATTTTTTAGGTTGGTGCCATGTGTTTAATTTCCCTCTAAAAGTTTGTGACATTATTGGTCCCCAAAAAGCACAGTGGAATCTAGAGAATTTCAATTTGATTTTAGTTCATCCAGAGGCCAAAGTGAGCAACATTAATGGTGAGAAGTTATGAAATTGTTTTAAGTTTTAGACACTGTATTGGTCTACATAAGTTCGTTAAAATGCACTTCTTTTGAGAGAATTCAGATAGTATGACCCCTAACATTTGTAGCTTTTCAACATTTATTTATAGCAGCATTGGATTCTAATGGTAGAGTACAATTCAATTAGATGAGCATTAGCCTTGGGTGCTGTCTGTCCTGTATTGCTCAGGATACACGGTACTAATCACTCCCCAGAATCTGTAGGCCATCCTCTCTGTCAGATTCCCAGCCTGATTCCCTCAACATGTGCTCATCCTCGCCCACTCCCTATCTCCTCCCACAATGTTGGAAGCATGCAAATGCCACAGACTTTCCACCCAGTTCTTCCTCAGTCCAGCCTCTGGGGGTGTCCATGGTAAAAGATATATTTTAGGTGCACATTTACCAAATTGTGATGTGTGGATCTCTGGTGATGCATAATGATTTCAGGTAGTATATGAACATGTTTTTATTTTAAAATATTTATTTTAAGGTAACAGTCTTACCATGATGAGTAATACTGTTTTGCACACTTAAGGTAGTGGCATGAAATTTCCTTTTAAAATAAAAAAAGAAGTGTATTTAAAGAAAATGTTATGTATTTTAAAAATATTGATTAACAAAAGAACATGAAAAAAATCACGGGGGTCATATGCAAATGACCAGAGTCTAGGAACGGCTATTCTAGTTTATAACTAGATAGAGGAAAGTTTGTGACTTTAAGAGCAGAAACCAGAAAGTCTTTTTTGGGGGTAAGAAAATGTCTTCACTTGGTAAAATGCCTAAATAAAGTATGAGCTGAAAGGCCCAAATCCCTGGCACAAGAGAGGAATTTTATTACATGCTCTCAAGATAGGAAAATGAGTGAGCAGAGGAGGGAGAAGGTTGAAGAGACGGGGTTCTGAGAAGGAGAGTCTGTGCTCTGCTTGGAAAAAATGAAAATCCAGTGTCGCAGTAGCTGTAGGGGACTCTGAGAGTAGATGGGTTGTATATCTGCATTTGCTGGTTTGTTTTCTATGTGAATGATGCGTGTGCTGACCTCTTGTAGGATCCAGCGTTTCCGTAAAGCTTCCTAGTCTGGCTAGCCATTGACCGTTGAACATTTATTATGTGTGAGGGCATCAAGAGCTATAAACTTATCATGCATTATCCTGTTCAGTTTTTTAAAACAATCCTATGAGGCACGTGCCATTATTATATCCACTTTACGATGTGTGGTGACCAACGCACAAAGAGATTCAGTAATCTGTTCAAGGTCATGTAACCACAATGCCTCCTACTTTTCTGAAAACATTTTATGTGCATCTGTATGTATGTGTGTGTATTGGTGTATTGGTGAGAGGCTGGCGTGCCTGTAAATGGGATTTATAAGAGAGGATGCAGAGTGGACACCCAAATGGCACAAGATGGCAGAAGGCTAGATAAATGGGAAATTCAGAAATCTGAGCAAGTTTTTTTATTTAGACCAGCTGTAGAATTGAGAGACTCCAGCTAGTTTTCCCCAGATATCAGGGGTCATAGAGTTTCTACTCAACATGTGGAACCAAATAAAATGTCCAACATTTAAGCATTTTGTCAGACCATCACAGCCACTTTTTTGTTGTTGTTCGTTTGGCTTCATTTTAGCTTGCTAATTCAGTTTGATCTTTATTGTTATATATATGTCAGTGTTCTTGGCTCCAAGCATCAGAAATGAACTTGCTAACATATTCAAGGGTAATTTTGGAGAAGCTACAATGTATAGGCTCGAAGAATTAAGAAGAAAATGCTGGAGGACAGAGTTTGCAAATAAATAAGAATTTTGGGAATTCTTGTTGAGCTTGGAAGTGGAACAGTGACCAACCCCAGGGTGAAGTGGTCAGTACATTTCTGCATTAGGGTGATGACCAAGAATTTCCCCTTGTATGTGGCTCAAGAGACAAAGTTCTGAGGGATGACATCTGATTGTCCAAGCCAAGTCATGTGACCAGTTCCTGTCCAGCTCTCCTACGGGGAGAGGCAGGTACCACTCAGGAAGATGCAGTACAATGGAGGAAAGTTAAATCCTCCAACTATTTTTTTAAGGGACGGGAATAGAGACTTAGTAACATGTGACCAATGTCCAACTTGTAGCAGTTGGATATTTATGTGTGGTATTTAAATAATGTTGTTCCATGTTACATTCATTAAGCATGTAAACTGTGTGTGAGAGGGAGTTAACCTAAGTGCCTTTTCTTAAGGAGCTCATGGGCTAGCCAGAGGACAACCAACCAAATAGAATTAAACACAATAACAAAAGAACCTTAGGAATGAGATATACGTGAGTTACATTCTCTCTGAACAATGAGGTAGGATTTAAAAAATACTGTCTTGATATTAGAATTCTGAGCTCATTACTAGCATTTTCCTTTAAGGGCATCTGTTGTAGAGAGTAGGATGGATTGAGTCAGGGTGAAAAGCAGGCTGTGAACCAGGGCCTGGTTGGAAAGGCAAGTTCTGATGAGTTGCCTCCCTTGGTAAACACTGTCTCACAAACTTAAGCAGACAGTAGTCAGCTTTGCAGACATCTGACACCCACCTGATGTCATTTTTTGGTTTGTTTTCATCTTGTTGGGGCTCTGGAGGAGACAACTGCATTTTTTTTTTTAAGTGATGAAGAAAGGAAAATGGAAACAGTGGCTTTGGTGACTTTTCAGCAGGAACTCTTTGTGGAACATTATCAGCCTGCATTTGGGCAGTGAGCCTGGTGGTACCTTACCCCAGTGCTGTTCCCAATCCCTTAGTGCTACCGACTACAGCTTATTGCCTGGCTCCAGAGATAGCCCTTGCTTGTCTTTGTTGTTTTGGTTAAAGATCAGATGCTTTCCTCTGACAGTTGGTTTTCCTCAGCTTGAGCATGACCCCTAAAGGCAGTCTAGGTCTCCATCCTTTTCTTCTGCTGCTTTTTATAGCTAACATGTTTCTGCTTTCTAAGAAATCGTCTATCAATTTCTACCCTGTTTCCCCGAAAATAACACAGGGTCTTATATTAATTTTTTCTCCCAAAGTTGCGCTAGGTCTTATTTTCAGGGGATGTCTTATCTTTCCACGCGCTGTCTTATTTTCGGAGGATGTCTTATTTTGGGAGAAACATGGTAGTTCCAGAAAGTACAGGATTCAGGTAGGCAATAAGTGGAGGAAAGTCCAAATATATACAGACTCTTTCTTTGACAATTTCTCAGGATAATAGCCCCAAACACTGAGTGGAGAAAAAGTTTATTTTATTTCTCTATTTTTTTTTTTTTTTTTTACCTTGGCTTCCTCCTACCCTTGACTCATCTCCTTGTCCCATGGGCTTCTA